CTGGAAAGCGCTTTGTAGTTTAAGATACCGTGGGGCCCTGACTTACGAGTGTCCCGATTAACGAGTTTTTTGAGATACCAGGTGTCTCTCGGCGGATTTTTTGCATTTAGTTGATAGAGTAATTTGAGTTAACGAACTCCCTTAACGAGCTTCGGTCTCGGAACGAATTAAACTCCTAAGTCAAGGCCCCAACACTGTATTTCATTCGATCAAAGGCAGAAGCAACCTCCCAGCCAGAAAGTGGGTAATGGCCGAGAAAGTCCAGCGGACACCAGGTGCAGGACAAGCCCCAGAGCTCGCCCTGAACGTGGTGAGCCTCCTGGCCAAGGCTAGGGTCAAACCCTAGCGGCAGCGGCAGCCGCGGCCTGCAGGGGGCGCCCGGACGGAACGCGTGGCCCCGCCCCCTCACGTGCCCGCGGCGTCACGTAACACCCGGAAGCAGCGGCCGAGCGGAGCCGGCAGCAATGAGCGGGGACGCGGGGCCGGTGTCTGCAGCGCCCCATCCCGGGGAGCTCGAACCGGGCAGTGGGGTCCGCATCGTGGTGGAGTACTGGTGAGCGGCTCCGGCCGGTGAGGTTCCGGTCCGGATGAGGGCGGGTCCACGGGCGGCCCCTACCCCGAAACCCAAGCGACCCCCCGGTGTGGTCTCCCTAGTGAACCCTGCGGCTTTGAGGCGACCTACCTGGAGCTGGCGAGCGCCGTGAAGGAGCAGTACCCTGGCATCGAGATCGAGTCGCGCCTGGGGGGCACAGGTGAGGCCGCAGAACACCTGCTGAGTCAGGGTTCCAGCTGCCCCGCTGTCTCCGGCGGTGGCTGGCACCTAGTGACAAGTCCAGACAGCTTGACCCCCCTTCCATCGTGGAGGGGGTCACAGATGGATCCTGTAAGGGAAAGCCGGTGAGACTGTGAAAGGACAGGTTGGGAGGGGAGGGAGCCCTTCCTGGAGTTCAAAGGGCACACGTGCGCCTCCGGTGCCTTCCTTTGGCTTGACCCCGGGTTGGGAAACGGCTTGAAGAGCTGCAGGTCTCTAACGGGGCGTGCGGAGGACATGAGCGCCTGTGCCGAGTCCGAGTGCGGAGGGCCTCCTGACCGTTGCCTTGTTCTCAGCAGACAGTTGATTCACTGGTTTATTTAATACCAGGGGCCTTTGAGATCGAGATCAATGGACAGCTGGTGTTCTCCAAGCTGGAGAACGGGGGCTTCCCTTATGAGAAAGATGTGAGTATTTGCAGTGTTGGAAGTTCCCCGGGGTCACCACGCCTCTGCAGCCCATCATCCCACGCCATCTCTCTGCCCTCCAGCTCATTGAGGCCATCCGGAGGGCCAGTAACGGAGAACCCCTAGAGAAGATCACCAACAGCCGCCCCCCCTGTGTCATCCTGTGACGGCATGGGATTCCAGGTTCCTGTGTGTTCTGGGGTACCAGCCTTGGTCTCCCCTTTGGTCCTGCTGAGGGTTCCCCACTACCCCTTTCCCCTCACTTAGCTCCAGGTAGCTGAGACCCTGGCCTCCACTTTGCCCCTTTGGGTACCAGGAGGGAATAGAAACTTCTGTTGGTCTGGAGCGTCGGGGAGCCTCTCCACTGATATTATCACAGCCACCTTGTACCCCTTCCGGGATCAGTGTCCACAAAAGCTTGCTCCCCGCTCCAGCCTCACTGCACCTGTAAGAGGCCACTGTCATTCTAATTTATTTCTACTAGCCCCGGGCATTGTCAGCTATTGGCAATAAACTGGCACTACAAACACTTTGTGCCAACTGGTGTGTGTTATGTCCAGCCTGGGAGTGTGGGGGCGGAGCAGGGTGGCTGTGCTGGGTGGGCCGGCTTTTTCTGGATAGACTTCTGGTTCAGTGATCTCTTCTCATAGCCAATAAGGAAAATGAATGACCCAGTAGACACTGCCTCTTCCCTGCCCGCGCCACCCCCCCCCAGTCTCATTATGGTGGGTGGGTAGGGTGGGTGGCCTGAGGAATTTGTTTTTTTTCTAAGCAAGAATGATTTGGTTGGCAAAGGGCTCTCAGATCAGTATCCTCAACTCCCAGATCCCCCCCAACCCAGAAGCCAGGACGTTGGAAGATAGGCTTCTCATTCAGGCTTCTCATAGATGACTAGTCGCTCCCTCCAGGAAAAGATGAGTTGAGTGTATGTTAGGCGGCAAGCGATACGGGAAGGCACAGAACTACCCCCAGGCATAGGCTGGTGCCCAGCTGTTTTCCAAAATGTATTTGCAGATGGAGAAAGTGGGTGTGGAGAAAGGACATCCCCAACCCCAGGGACCACTCCCCCTTCCACAATACCCACTCTCCCCGAGTCCTTATTTTATCTTTTTTTTAAAAAACAAAACACAAAAAAAACCGTAAGTAAAAACAAATCAAAGGAAGCACTCTGTACAAGGACTAGACCTGGGCACTGCTGCTGTCCCTTCTCCCTGGGGGCAGCGCTAGGGCTCAGAGACAGTCTCTGAGTGGACTGTTCTTGCCCTCGACACTTCTTTGGGGCCTCTTCCCCTCCTGGGCCCAGCTCCCCTAAGTCCTTCAGTGCCGGGGATGTGGAAGGAGAGAGCCAGGCTGGGCTGCTCCCTCAGGTGAGGAGACTGTGGCTGTGGCATCCATTGGACCCTAGAGTCTGCTGGGACAGGACTCCTTCCGGATGCTGCCTCCTCTTCCAACCAGGCTGAGCTCCTCCGAGCCACCTGGGAACTGGAAGAGGAAAGAAGGTGCCTGGCATGGCGGGCTCCACCGATATGGTCCAAGGGCCCTTCCCCACGTTGTCCTGACACAGGGTCCTGACACAGGCCGGAAGTCAGGCCTTCCCCACTCCCCGCGGGTTCAGCAGGGCCTAAGCAGACTTGGCCTTTTGGCTCACACTGGCGCATCCAGACCCAGGTACTCGGGGTTCTCTGCCGTAGGGGTCCCTTCAAAGGTGCTGGGCAGAGAGCCACGCTCGGATGGGTCCTGGTCCCAGTAATAGAGGTTGTCAAAGGCTGGACTGAAGGCAGGAGGAGGGTGGGGCTGAGGGGCAGCCCTGCCGCGGGGTGCCAGGTACTCAGGGTTCTCCACGGCACCCCCAAAGGCAAAAACGTCTTTGACAACCCCGTTCTTCCCAGGGGACAGAGTCTTGGGGGAGAGAGTCTTGGGCTTTTCCAGAGTGGCACTGGCAGATCGAGGAGGCGGCAGGGGGCCCTCTAGGGGTGAGGGGGGCTTCGGGCGGACCTCTGGCTGGTTCACGTATTCTGAAAGGGCAAGAGAGGGGGTTTGTTAGGGAAAGAAACCCATGTGTCCCAACCACTAACACAGCCCCCCCACGGTGGGCCCCCACCTCCCCCACCTCCCAATCTCAGCTCAGGCCTGGATGCCATACCTGGCTGGGGACTGCAGGTCGCAGGGGCAACGTAGCCATCAGCCTCAGGGGGCAGGGGCACTGTGGGGTCCTCACTGTACCGCTGTAGAGGGCTGGGGTCATGTGGGGAGAGGCTCTGCAGCCCCTTGGCCGCCCCCATTCCCAAGTCGCTCTCAAACACATCAGAGCCCGCCCCCTCGGAGGGCGCCAGTGGAGATTTCGGGGGCTCCTCCTCTGGGGGCTCCAGCCCCAGTGTCAGTTCACCACCGCCACTCTGGGGACAAGAGAGA